GAAGAATGTCTGGTCTCACCACATCTATTCAACACTGACTGCAATAAGGCAAGAAAAGGAAATCAAAGGTATCAAGACTCAGGAGCTGGGGGAAATAGTAAAACTCTATTAACAGATGACATAATTCTCTATATAGAAAATCCCAGGCCAGGTGCAGTGGCTCACGCCTGTAATCCCAGCGCTCTGGGAGGTGCAGGCAGGCGGATCACGAGGTCAGGAGATGCAGACCATCCTGGCTAACACGGTGAAACCCCGTCTCTACTAAAAACACAAAAAATTAGCCAGGCGTGGTGGCATCCTCCTGTAGTCCCAACTACTCGGAAGGCTGAGGCAGGAGAATCACTTGAACCCAGGAGGTGGAGGTTGCAGCAAGCCAAGATCATGCCACTGCATCCCAGCCTGGGCGACAGAGCAAAACTCTGACAAATAATGAAATTGAAATTGAAATGAAATTGAAATGAAATGAAATGAAATGAAATGAAATGAAATGAAATATAAAATATAAAATAAAATATAAAATAAAATAAAAAAAATAAAATAAAATAAAATAAAATAAAATAAAATAAAAATCCCACTGAGTATAGGAGAAAGCTACTAGAACAAATAGGTGAGTTTGGTAAAGTTGTAGCCTACAAGTTTGATATACAAAATCAGTTGTATTTCTATATGTCAGCAATAAACAATCAAATTAAATTTTTAAAATTATAATTTATAATAGCATCAAAAATATGGAATACCTAAGGGAAAATCTGACCCAAAGTAAGCAAGACCTGTTTATTAAAAACTATAAAATATTGTGGAGTGCAATTTAAGAAGACCTAAGTAAGTAGAAAGAAATATCATTTTTATGGACTGGAAAACTCAATATTGTGAAGATGTCAGTTTTCTCCAAATTGGTCTATAGATTCAATGCAATTGCCATTAATACGCCAGTAAGATTTTATGCAGAAATTGACAAACATTTTAAAATTTATATGAAAATGCAAATTATATAGTATAAACAAAACAACTTCACATGTGGAAAGATTTTCAAAATCATTATTAATTAAGGAATTAGAAATTAAGAAGAGCTGGGTGCGGTGGCTTATGCCTGTAATCCCAGCACGTTGGGAGGCCAAGGTGGGCAGATCCCCTGAGGTCAGGAGTTCGAGACCAGCCTGGCCAACATAGTGAAACCCAATCTCTACTAAAAATACAAAAATTAGTCGGACATGATGGTGCACGCCTGTAATCCCAGCTACTTGGGAGGCTGAGGCAGGAGAATCACTTGAACCCAGGAGGCGGAGGTTCCAGTGAGCTGAGATCATGCCACTGCACTCCAGCCTGGGCAACAGAGCAAGACTCTGTCTCAAAAAAATAAATAAGACCACAATGAGATGCTGTATTAGTCTGTTCTCACACTCACTGTTATGAAGAAATACCCGAGACTGGGTAATTTATAAAAGAAAGAGGTTTAATTGACTCACAGTTCTGCATTGCTGGGGAGGCCTCAGGAAATTTACAATCACAGCGAAGGCAAAGGAGAAGCAGGCACCTTCTTCACAGGGCGGCAGGACGGAGTGAGTGTAAGCAGGGGAAATGCCAAATGCTTATGAAACTGTCAGATCTCGTGAGACTCACTCAGTATCATGAGAAAAGCCTGGGGGAACCACGCCCATGATCTGATTACCTCCACCTGGTCCCACCCTTGACAAGTGGGGATTATAATTCAAGATGAGATTTTGGGTGAGAACACAGACAAACCACATCATTGTGCCCCTGACCTCTCCAAAACCGCATGTTCTCACTTTTCAAAAGACAATTATGCCTTTCCAACAGTCCCCGAATCTTAGCTCATTCCAGCGTTAATTAAAAAGCCCGAGGAGAATGGCGTAAATCCGGGAGGCGGAGCTTGCAGTGAGCTGAGATCTGGCCACTGCACTCCAGCCTGGGCCACAGAGCGAGACTCCGCCTCAAAAAAAAAAAAAAAGCCCGAGTCCAAAGTCTCATCTGAGACAAGGCAAGTCACTTCTGCCCATGAACCTGTAAAATTGAAAGCAAGTTAGTTATTTCCTAGATGCAATGAGGGTACAGGCATTGGGTAAATACACCCATTCCAAATGGGAGAAATTGTCCAAAACAAAGGGGCTACAGACCCCATGCAAGTCTGAAATCCAATAGGGCAGTCATTGTACCTTAAAGTTCCAAAATAATCTCCTTTGACTCCATGTCTCACATCCAGGCCATGCTGATGCAAGAGGTAGGTCCCCACAGCCTTGAACAGATCACCGTACAATTACTAGAATGACTAAAATTAAAAAGACTGACTATACCAAGTACTGGTGAGGATTTGAAGGAACTGAAACCCTTATACATTGAGAATGGAAAATGATACAACCACTTTGGAAAACAGATCCTAATATGTTAAAGACTTTCCTAATATGTTAAAGTCATAGAATACCCCTACCTCTGTGGGAAACCATACCTGCCATGCAATTCAGCCAATCTACTCCTAGGTATTTTTCCCATAAGACCAAAAATCATATCTGCACACAAAGACTTGTACATGAATGTTCATAGCGTCCTCATTTGTGATGGTCAAAACTGGAAACAAATCAAATGTCTGAATAGATAAACTGTGGTTTACTCATACAATGGAATACTACTCAGCAATAAAAGGAGTAAACTGGTGAAACATGTTACATGGCTGAATCTCAAATAATGCCAATGACTTATAGAAACCAGATAAAAAAGAGTACCTACTCTGTGGCTACACTTATATAAAATTCTAGAGAACGCAAACTCATGTATAGTTATATCTACAAAATAGATCAGAGGTCTTCTGGGGATGGAGGGAGAAGACAAGGAGAGGCAGGAGGGAGGGATTCCTAAGGGACATGAAGAATGTTTGGGGGTAGTAGAAATGTTCACTTTCTTGATTGTGATGAAGGTTTCATGAGTATATACATGTCAAAATTATCAAATTACATACTTTAAACACTGGAAGTTTGTTGTTTGTTAATTATATCTTAATAAAACTATTTTTAAAAATAAGAACTTGGCTGGGCATGGTGGCTCACGCCTGTAATCCCAGCACTTTGGAGAAAATATAATGGGAGTTGAAATCATGTAGGGTCTTGCAGGTCTTTGAAAGAAAGCCATTCAGAAACTTTGATCACAGGATGATAAGAGAAATGCAGATTAAAACACAGTATGAAGGAGGCTGTGGCAGGCGGATCATTGAGGTCAGGCATTGGAGACCAGCCTGGTCAACATGGCAGAACCCCGTCTTTACTAAAAGTACAAAAATTAACCTGGCATGGTAGCGCGCACCTGTGGTCCCAGCTACTCAGGAGGCTGAGGCAACAGAATCGCTCAAACCCAGGAGGCGGAGGTTGCACTGAGCTTAGATCTCACCACTGCACTCCAGCCTGGGTGACAGAGTGAGACGCTGTCTCAAAAAAAAGAAGGAGAGGGAGAGGGAGAGGGAGAGGGAGAGGAAGAGGGAGAGGGCGAGAGAGGGAGAAGAAGAAAGAAGAAGAAGAAAAGTTCAGATATATTTCTTAATGGATATGGCCTGGATTTATCCCTTGACAAGAGTGGCTGACTGTGGGCACTGGGCCAGGGACTCGCTGGACACCATGGACTGCACCCACCTAGCTTCTCCCCTGTGATGAGTCCTTCCCCTTCAGGGCTTTTTTTTTTTTTTTTTTAACAGCCCTTCTCCATTCCCATCACCACCACCATCTCAGATATGAGATCAGGCTCTGTGAATTGGGGTAGGGGTAATCTAGATTTTCCTGCTTTTCTGTAGCATGAGCGAAAAAAGGTGTTTCTCAAATTCTTAAGTTTAGAAAGGGTCAGGGATCTCTGCAATTATCAGGACATGTAGAGAAAATTAAGAACATAGATTTTTATGCTTAGAAGGCACTAGAAAAGACATTCTTTATTCTATATAGAAATCCATCTTATTTAATCACTTAGGCCCTGCTTGAAAAATGAGTTATAGAATACCACCTCCGTCTCTGGGAAACCATTCCATAGTAAAAGAGTTCTGCCTGTTAGAACATACTAATCTAAAATTAATTTGGAGACCAGGTGCAGTGGCCCATGCCACTTTAATATAATTCCAGCACTTTGGGAGGCCAAGGAGGGAGGATCACTTGAACTCAGGAGTTTGAGACTAGCCTGGGCAACATAGTAAGACTTGTCTCTACAAAAAAAAAAAAAAAATTAAAAAATATTCGGGCATGGCCGGGCGCGGTGGCTCACGCCTGTAATCCCAGCACTTTGGGAGGCCGAGGCGGGCGGATCACGAGGTCAGGAGATCGAGACCATCCTGGCTAACACGGTGAAACCCCGTCTCTACTAAAAATGCAAAAAATTAGCCGGGCGAGGTGGCGGGCGCCTGTAGTCCCGGCTACCCGGGAGGCTGAGGCAGGAGAATGGCGTGAACCCGGGAGGCGGAGCTTGCAGTGAGCCGAGATCGCGCCACTGCACTCCAGCCTGGGCGACTGAGCCAGACTCCGTCTCAAAAAAAAAAAAAAAAAAAAAATTCGGGCATGGTGGTGAATACCCGTGCGTCCCAGCTACCCAGGATGCTGAGGTGGGAGGATTGCTTGAGCTCAGGAGATTGAGGCTACAATAAGCTGTGACTGCACCACTGCACCCTAGCCTGGGCTACACAGTGAGATCCTGTCTCAAAAAAATAGAAACATAAAAAAAATTAATTTGAAAATAGCAGGGAACTTTTTTTTTTTTTTTTTTTTTTTTTTGAGGCAGACTCTCACTCTGTTGCCCAGGCTGGAATGCAGCGGCACGATCTCGGCTCACTGCAACTTCCGCCTCCTGGGTTTAAGCGATTCTCCTGTCTCAGCCTCCTGAGCAGCTTGGATTACAGGCACCCGCCACTATGCCCAGCTAGGGAATTTTTTTTTAATGACATTGGGTAAATGATCTCCCTCAAACTTCTGCAGCAAGTGACTTCTTGGGCAAGTCACTTTCCCTGGTGGGCACATATGTGAGAGAGGGATTTGGCTTATAGATTGACATGTGTTCATTATCGTTTATTTCCACAAACCTTCACTGACAGCATGCTTTGTGCCTTGGGGGCTCAAAAATGAAAGACACGTTCCCTACTCTCAGGAATTTCACAGCCCAGTGCAGGGAGACACACAGATAAGTAGACCATTCAAAAGCAGGTTTATGCTAGAATGAAAGGGACTGTGAAGAAGGGCTGAGCCCTAACGAGAGATCGAGAGATTGGGGAAAGCTAGGGAAGATGTCCCAGTGTGAATCTTCCCACTCCATTGCCCCAAACACCTCCTCAAAGCCTGTGACTTGTAACCCTCCGCATGCCCTCCCAGTGCCTGGATCAAATGTTCAGCCTGTGTGCCACACAATAGACTGATGTTATGCATCGATAAACTCTTAGACATCCGGCTGGTTCTGTGCCCATCCCCCTGCCCCCACTGCAGAGAGGCCAATAAAACTCTTGTTCAGACTCACACTGCACACAGCATTCTGAACTTCTGGATCTACCATCTCCTGTTTCCCAAGCACCATGAAACTCCTGCTGTTGGCTCTTCCTATCCTTGTGCTCCTACCCCAAGTGATCCCAGGTAATCAGAGGTCAGGGAAGCTACGAAAATAGAGGTATAGCGGGTTCTGGCTCATGAAAATTCCAGGGTGTTGCTGTACCCCCAACCTGGGCAGCTCCACAGCTCCCACACTGCGACTATATTCCTGACTGGGGTAAAACCTGGGAGTAGAGCAAGTTTTCCTCAATAGACAGGGGCAGTCCCACCATCCAGAGTTGTCCCTGGTTCTATATTCCAATTTGCCGCCTAAGGTAGGGGAAAGCCAGGCTCACATCTCTTCTCTTTCCAGCTTGTGCCAGCTTTTGAAAATGATTCCCGCAGCCCACTTTGCATATTTTCTTGGCCGTAAAAGTCCTGCTATCACTGTAATGAGGTTCTTTTTGTTTCTAATGTTCTAGAATTTGGTGAACAGGTAAGAAATTATCGGCTGAGCTGTGATATGGAAGACAGAACTGGCTTTTCTTCTTCCTTCTACAGTGAAAATCTAAGCTTTTCATAATCACTGCTTTCTTAAGTGTATCTAAAGGCATGACCAGTACTTTGAAATCACTGGTGAAGCAAGCCTGTTTTCTCTTTGTTTTATGTTTTTCAAGGTGCATTTCAATGTATGATTGAACTTACATAAAAATGAATCTAAATATTTCTGTTTTATAACAAAGTAAGCATATTCCATGCATGGCTACACAGCACTCTTTCTTTCTTTTTTTTTTTTTTTAAAGATGAAATCTTGATCTGTCGCCCAGGCTGGAGTGCAGTGGCACAATCTCAGCTCACTGCAACCTCTGCCTCCTGGGTTCAAGCAATTCTCCTGCCTCAGTCTCGCAAGTAGCTGGGATTACAGGCGTGCACCATCATGTCCGACTAATTTTTGTATTTTTAGTAGAGACGGGGTTTCACCATGTCGGCCAGGCTGGTCTCAAACTCCTGACCTCAGGTGATCCACCCGCCTCAGTCTCCCAAAGTGCTGGGATTACAGGCGTGAGCCCCCGTGCCCAGCTCTGTGCAGCAGTCTTCTTTCACTTCTTATTCTGTGGCCATCTTTCCATGTCATCATCTAAAGATCTGCCTTATTGTTTGTAAAGTTGTATACTTCTGCTGTAGGATAAGCCTTATAAAGTCATATACAGTCATTTGAGGCATTTCTTAATTTTCTAACAACACATCAATGAATATGCTTGTACAAACATTAATATATTTACATATTTGGACAGGGGCTTAAATAGGATAGATTCCTAGAGGGCAAATAACCAAGTTAAATGTAAGCCTGGTGGTGGTGGGCAAGAAAATAAAAAAATATATTTATTCCATTAATTCCTCTATTCCTCTACCCTCATTGCAGAGAGGCCAGTAACTTGTTCAGACTCCCACTGCACATGGCATTCTGAACGCCTGGGTCTACCCTGGCATTCAGGGTAGGGAAACAGGGAAACCTCTCCTGTTTCCCAGGGACCAGGAACCTCCTGCTGCTGGCTCTTCCTGTGCTTGTGTTCCTACACCACAATCCTGGGTAATCAGAAGTCAGTAATCAGAAGTTGTGTATCTTAAAGGATACTGCCAGCAGAAATTGCCAACTCTGGGGGTTTTGAATAATTCTCCAGTTACAATTCCAGACACAAACAGGAATAATTCTGTGTGATCCCTTTGAAAGCAATTGGTCTGCTTTGAGTTCTAGTGGAGATACTGAGACTAGGAAAGAGACAGATGTGAAAGATTTTGTACATGCAATCCACGAGTCATAAAAACTCAGCATATGGGGAGTGAAGGATATATTACAGGATCTAGGGCTTCAAGTCTGAGTGCTAAGAGCTATAAATTTGGAGTCATTCTCTTGGAGCAAAGAGTTGAGACAATGAAAGAAGCATAAAGTCTTGATGCTTTATCTTAAACAGCCCCTACATTTGAGGAAGAATACTAGAAATCAGTGACATTTATAGGGACAGGAAGATCTCCCTACCCTCTCATCGAAAATACACAAGGGTTTTTCTATCACCATAATCCTTCAAACACCCAGCTGATGAATATAAAATAATCTCTTACTGTCATGGTTGTTTTTTGTATTTGTTCGTGTTTTGAAACAGAGTCTCGGTCTGTTGCCCAGGCTGGTGTGCAGTGACATGATCTCGGCTTGCTGAAACCTCTGCCTCAGGGGTTCAAGTGATCCCCCTGCTTCAGCCTCCTGAGTAGCTGGAATTACAGGCACGCACAACCACGCCTGGCTAATTTTTGTATTTTTAGTAGAGATGGAGTTTCAGCACGTTTGCTAGGCTGGTTTCAAACTCCTGACCTCAAATGATCCACTCGCCTCAGTCTCCCTGTACTGTTGTTTTAATCTGCATTTCTCTTATCATCCTGTGATCAAAAGTTCTGAATGGCTTTCTTTCAAAGACCTGCAAGATTCTATGTGAAATCAACTCCCATTATATTTTCTCCAGTTACTCTCCACTTAACTTACTCTGTACTCACCATAACTACCTTATTGTTTTTCAGAACCTTTGAGACAGGTCCTGCCTCTAAGCCTTTGCACTTGCTGCTTCCTCTGTCTGGTATATACTCTGCCCCCAGTTAGTCTCATAGCTCACCCTGTCTCTTCCTTCTCAAAACTCAAGGTAAATCTTTCACTATTTCCCATCACACACTTCCTAAAACCCTTCGCTACTTCATTTCTCTCCATAATGCTTATCTTTTTTTTTGTATTTTCATAATGCTTATATTATGTATCCACATAAAGTATGTTATACTTTTTTCTCTTATTATCTATTTTTTCTTTTTTTTTTTTCTTTTTTGAGACAGTCTCACTCTGTTGCCCAGGCTGAAGTGCAATGGCACGATCTCAACTCACCAAAGCCTCTGCGTCCCAGGTTCAAGTGTTCCTTCCATCTCAGCCTCCTGAGTTAGCTGGGAAAATAGGCATGTGCCACCACGTGTGGCTAATTTTTGTATTTTTGGACACATGTTTATTTTATACTTTGGGTTATAATTTTTTATTTTTTAAATTTCAATAGCTTTAGGGGTACAAGTGGATTTTGGTTACATGGATGAATTGTATAGTAGTGAAGCCTAAGATTTTAGTGCACCCATCACTGCAGTAGTGTATATTGTACCCAATAGGTAGTTCTTCATCCCTCCCCCTCCCCTTACTCTTCCCCCTTCTGAGACTCCAATGTCCCGTATACCACTGTGTATGCCCTTGTGTACCCATAGCTTAGCTCCCACTTATAAGTGAGAACATGTGGTATTCGTTTTTCAATTCCTAAGTTACTTAAAATAATGACCTCCAGTTCCATCCATGTTGCTGCAAAAGACATTATTTTGTTCCTTTTTATGGATGAGTAGTATTCCATGGTGTATATGTTCCACATTTTCTTTATTCATTCATCGGTTAATGGGCCCTTAGGTTGATTCCATATCTTTGCAGTTGTGAATTGTGTTGCAATAAACATACACTACACAGATATATTTTATATACTCATGTGAATGTATACTTTGCAGTAGAATGGGATATGACCAATGCAAATAACTTAATCACACTTGTTGAAGTAGCAGCAAGATGTACTTGTTGAAGTAACAAGAAGATGTACTTTCTGGCCAGGAGCGGTGGCTCACTCCTGTAATCCCAGCACTTTGGGAGGCCGAAGCTGGTAGATCATGAGGTCAAGAGATCAAGACCATCCTGACCAACATGATGAAACCCCATCTCTACTAAAAATACAAAAATTAGCAGGATGTGGTGGCACGTGCCTGTAGTCCCAGCTACTCAGGAGGCTGAGGCAAGATAATTGCTTGAACCAGGGAGGTGGAGGTTGCAGTGAGCCGGGATCACGCCACTGCACTCCAGCCTGGTGACAGAGTGAGACTCCATCTCAAAAAAAAAAAAAAAAAAAAAGGTGTACTTTATTTACTCAGGTACATTTACACAGGGCTCAGGTAGCTTCATTATAAGCAGCCCCAATTCCTCATGACTGGAGTTTCTTTTCGCTGATGGTAAGATTCATCTCACTTTCAGAATAGTTAAAAACGGGCAAATGGGAGGTTGAGTATTTACCAGACCTGAAGTGGGAGTCTTGCAACCGTCATCTAATTATGATCCACAGTGTGGATACAGGATGCCAGATATATAGTCATGCTAGTGAAATTGAGAGCATCAGTAACCCAAAATCAGTGGTTTTTCCTTTTATTATTCAGCCTATGGTGGTGAAAAAAAATGCTGGAACAGATCAGGGCACTGCAGGAAACAATGCAAAGATGGAGAAGCAGTGAAAGAAACATGCAAAAATCTTCGAGCCTGCTGCGTTCCATCTAATGAAGACCACAGGCGACTTCCTACGACATCTCCCACACCCTTGAGTGACTCAACACCAGGAATTATTGATAATATTTTAACAATAAGGTTCACTACAGACTACTTTGAAATAAGCAGCAAGAAAGACATGGTTGAAGGGTCTGAGGCAGGACAGGGAACTCAGACCTCTCCCCCAAATGTTCACCATACCTCATGACTTCTTCTCGGATGTCACTCACCCCTGTCCTCAGAGTGATAAACTAAGTCACATATAGATAAAACACCACAGTGACCTCCCACTCCCCACCAATATGTAATTCTATTAATAGAAACAGCTGTGTAAAGAAGTCTAAAATTTTCACTATTTCCAATGATAAACTCTTCAGTGCTCTTCTTGAGATGTCAAATTATTTTCACAAGTTTTAATCTATTTTTAGTATTTCTTGTTTGCTGGTGACCTATGCACAACCTCAATAGCTTAGTTAGCTATTCCAACAACAATTTTTTCATGTGTCTTTCTGTCTTCTCAACAGGTGTCTTAATGGCAGCATAAGTGGTCATGATCAAAATTCTAAATCTTTGCATCTGTGAGAGTAGCTACTAGGACACTAAAAGCTTTTTTTCTAGAACAGGAGACACTTCAGGTGAAAGCATTCATTTTCCTACTAACCATGGCCTTAGAGGAAGGTTTTATCTGTCACCGTATCACTGTAGGAAATTGACTGTCCCAAGTGTGAGCTAAGAAGACTCCTTTTGGCCCCAGTGTCTTTCGGGTTGAAATAGAAGCTGTCGAAAAGCTTCTATGGCTCTGTAGACCCATCTCTTTGACCAAGCCTTGATCACACATGGACATCCAAGGGTAAAGATGGCCCCTCAATTGTGGGTGAAAGGATAGGTCATTTGTCCACCTGATTACTGAGACTGAGAGCTTTACTTGTCTCCCTGTGACAGAAAAAAAAAAAACTTCACATCCTGTCCCATCCACATAACTCTACAACAGACTTCATTGTTACAAATTTTCCAATCTTGCTCTTCCCAAGAACCTAAACAACCAGCCAGTCCATTACCAGCATTCATGAATTACTGTAGATCCATACCTAGGCAAGCCTTCCTTCTGCTGGAAGGATTTCCCTTAACCACTGTCTTTTGGGCCACTGCCACATCAGGCTGTAATGCAGCACTTCTGTCTGGTGCTAGCATGTCATGCAGACCATTCCACAAACCTGGCCTTGCTTTTTCCTCTTTTATTAATGAACCATAGGAACCCCTCATGATACTATTAGTGTGTGATGAAGAAGAGGCAATAAAGCAGGAATGGGTGACATAGGCATCTGAACCACCTGCTTCTGCAGTTTATGCTTGCCAGACCTGCTAAGTTCCAGTTTTGAACGTATTACTTTCATCTAACATTGGAGATTCTTCACGGGTCTAATTATATTATTCGAAGGGTTAGATAATACCTAATCCATGATGGGAAATTTGGGTCTCATTATTTTTTTAAGCTAGTTATTCCTGATAATTCTAAAATTTGAAGTCTTTGAAAGTCTGAATCTCTAGACTGTGATTTCTGCTGACCTTAATTCATGGTGCCTTATTTCCTTGCGTATTTTGTGATTTGGGGCTCTGGTCTGTTCATTTTCCTCAGAAGTTTAGTTGAGTAAACTAGTTGAGTCCTGAGTTAAAGGTCTACTCCTTTGTTTTCTTCTGTCTTTTTAGCACTACTAGTCTGGGACAACTTTAAGCTTGATTTTTTTTCATATGACCCATGTACTGTGAATTCAGGCTGAGAGACTATATGAGATGGACCTTGAGGTTATAAATTCTCAGTGAAGACTTTTTTTCTATTTACTGAATACTTAGGTTCAAAATCACGCAATTTTCCTTGAAAACCTCTGGTGAAGGAAAAGGGATGTTGTATCTGCTTTATTTTTATACAGCATATGTAACACTTTAAGGACTGAGATTTATATAGGGATCTCCTACGAGACTCATATTTTTTCAGACCCTAGTCACTGCCTTCTCTCCCCTGCTTACCCCCACCTTGGCCAAAGCCATGGAAACCAAAGCTCAAGTTCACCTGATTCAGCAAGTGTCTTTGTGACAAAAGCCAGCTTCAGTCACTGCCTTCAAAAGAGTGCCCACTTGCACTTGGTTTTAAAATTCTTTTTTTTCTTTTTTTTTTTTTTTTTTTTTTTTTTTTGAGACGCAGTCTAGCTCTGTCGCCCAGGCTGGAGTGCAGTGGCCGGATCTCAGCTCACTGCAAGCTCCGCCTCCCGGGTTTACGCCATTCTCCTGCCTCAGCCTCCCGAGTAGCTGGGACTACAGGCGCCCGCCACCTTGCCCGTCTCTCCGCCTCCCGGGTTTACGCCATTCTCCTGCCTCAGCCTCTGAGTAGCTGGGATTACAGGCGCCCGCCACCTTGCCCGGCTAGTTTTTGTTTTTTTTTAAGTAGAGACGGGGTTTCACCGCAGCACAGGATGGTCTCGATCTCCTGACTCGTGATCCGCCCGTCTCGGCCTCCCAAAGTGCTGGGATTACAGGCTTGAGCCACCGCTACTCGCTTTTTTTTTTTTTTTTTTTTGAGACAGAGTTCCTCTGTCCCCAGGCTAGAATACAATGCACACTTGCAATGGCACGATCTCGGCTCACAGCAACCTCCGCCTCCCGGGTTCAAGAGATTCTACTGCCTCAGCCTCCTGAGTAGCTGGGATTACAGGTGCGTGCCACCACGCCCAGCTAATTTTGGTATTTTTAGTAGAGACAGGGTTTCACCATGTTGGTCAGGCTGGTCTCAAACTCCTGACCTCGTGATCCACCCACCTCGGCCTCCCAAAGTGCTGGGATTACAGGCGTGAGCCACTGCGCCCGGCTGGTTTTAATATTCTTGGCCTTACTTTCTTGCAAGGTTAAAGATGTTTTAAAAGTTTTGTTGTATATTTTAAGTGCATGTTTTTTGCTGTTTTCAGTGGGAGGATCAGCCTGGGTTCTTCAACCAGTATTCTTCCTGGAACAGTGGTTCAGAACCAATACTTTCATCCAGATCATAAACTTTGTTGTTGGGATAGGTGGCAGCACCAGAGGAAGGAGAAAAAAAGATCATTGTCAAAGGATGAAACTATCACTCAATGTCTAGAACCAAAATGCTGAAATGATTGCTTTCTTTTTTTTTAAGGTGGAGTTCTGCTCTTGTTGCCCAGGCTGGTGTGCAACGGCACAATCTCGGCTCACCGCAACCTCTGCCTCCCAGGTTCAAGCAATTCTCCTGCTTCAGCCTCCCGAGTAGCTGGGATTACAGGAATGTGCCACTGTACCTGGCTAATTTTGTATTTTTAGTAGAGATGGGGTTTCTCCATGTTAGTCAGGCTGGTCTCGAACTCCTGACCTCAGGTGATCCACCCGCCTCAGCCTCCCAAAGCACTGGGATTACAGGCGTGAGCCACCACGCCCAGCCTGCTTTCTTAAGAACAGGAGAGCCATGCTGGTCCATCATAAGCTCCTTCATCAGAGCGAAGTGTTGAACTTACACAGCATTTGGGGAACACATTCTGAGGGAGTTGTGTTGGCTACAGAGGTGGGAATTGGTTAATGACAATTTAGAAGTGTGTACACTGAAATGAATTCAAAGCTGATTGACATATTCAAAGCACAATGCTGTCACTGACAATTAGCTTTCAGAAGTGTGTTCACTGAAGCAAGTTGTCATTGACCATAAAAAAGGTTTAAAACATTTCAAGGTATGTACTTGTTATCATGATCATAGGACTGTCAGCCTTTTCCTAGGAATGTGGAGAGTTGTTATTGTCAGAAGAGAAGAGTAACCCCAGAAGAATCCAACGAGATAAATAACAGATGAGGAACCCCAAAAGATGATGGAGAAGGGGCAGCCTGAAAGTTAGGAAGAAAACAAAGAAAGAGTGAAATCACAGAACCCTAGGCAGTTAAGGTTTTCAAGGGGGGAATAACCTATAGTGGAAATGCTGCACAGAGGCAGATTGAGATACAAGTTGAAGAACATTCTGAAACTTTCAAAAAGGAGTCCAGCTACACTTATTTATGTTTTTGTTTAACTTGTGGACAAAGACTTATAGACAGGTGCAAAAACTAAATCATCTTTTCCAACCCAGAACTCATTGTTCAGTATGAGTTTTGATACATATAAGAAGGCATATTATGATTAAAAAAAAAAAAAAAAAGGGAGGTCCACTGGTGACCTTGACCAGAGCCAGTCCAATAGCAAATAAGCACAAAGGCAAATTGTAATGAGTTGAGAATCAGAGAAGTAGAGAAAGATAATGGGTAAGTACTACTCTACTTTTGACAGAATTTAGAACTGTTAGTGGGAGGTAAGACATAAAAAGTAAAATTCGAATTGTATATTACAAACCTGGTGTTAGTTGTCATTGGGGACATAAGTCTCTTAGGTTTTGAAGAATTAGAGGACCTTGACTATCCACAACAACAGCACCCAATATTCAAAGACCTTCTGCAATAACCACCAAACAGGCGCTTCAGTCTCACAGCTTGAAACCAACACAGCTTATTCCGCATTACAGCAGCTCTGTTGGTTATAAAGTTTTTTCATGAACTAGGCCAAAGTTGTCTACAAGACCTCCACCTACTGCCCTGTGTATTCATCCCACTGGTTAAAGACCCTCCCTGAGTTCTACATGGCACAGATTAAATCATAAATCTGCCTAAACCCCTCGACCCTCCCTTACTCGATTCATTCTTCCCCTTTCCTCACTGGCTTGTCTAGCTTCTCTGTAATTGTTTCCCCAGTTTTCCAGCCTTCTCTCTCTCGGGGCTTATCCAGAATGAGACAGACATTGTCACCATGCAAAGCCCAGTCTCTCACTATGATTTTCAGTGGATCAAAGACAGACAAAGGTAGCAGGTACATGAATTTTAATGAGGGGGGTTGACAGCAGGTCTCTGCCCAGAGAGGTTGAGAATGGTAATCACCAGCACTCAAGGTAGTCTTGGCCACTGCTTCTCATAAGACCAATCGGTATTTTCCTCTTTGCCGGAAATGCTTATCCTCATGTAGGACTGGAGGCAGCAGGCCTGATAATTTCTGCAATAGAGGTAGGGCTGTTCATTCTTTTTGCAAGAGGCCCTACAAATTCCACTGTTACCCATGCATCGAAGGATGTGGCGTTTGCCTGGCAAAAGAAAAAAAAATACAAATAGTTAACTTCTACCTAGGAGTGACATAAATCTGATAAGTCGGGAAGCATCATAAAAACCTAAACGGGGAGCAGGGAGAAAACCTAAAGGGAAATAGTGACTTCTACTTCCAGAAAAAAAAAAAGAGTCAATGTATTTTTCTCTATTTGTCCTGCTAAGTTCGTTTTAAAACCCTGAGGGTGTGTGTGTGTGTGTGTGTGTGTGTGTGTGTGTGTGTGTACTCTGAAAGCTAAAGTAAAGAAGAACAAGGCAGGGACCTCAGGATCTAAGGAAGGACACAGTCATGAATTCCCTGGGTTTTCTTTTTGCCTTATCGATCCCAGACTTGTGCTGGAGAGACTGACAACCTGGAAACAACAAACGAGTACAGACATAGAGTCCCAAGGAAAGTCTCCGCTCTCTAGCCAAAGAACCAGGAAAGGTCAACCCAGCAAGAAAGAACATTTTAGACAATAACCACTCCGCTCCAGGAAAAACCAGAGACAAAACTACACTCCCACTCATACATCCACCAATGAAGGCTACGTGGGGAGCCTCAAATTCTGCCCTTTCCACTCTGTAAGGAGGTGTAACCTCCTAGAGTGGAACCCAAGTGGGGAGCGGGGACTATTATCACTGCTGGATGGTCACAAAGCCAATCACCACCATGCAGTGTCGATAGGAATCATGTGGGGAGCCTCGACTTCCCCTATCTGGTGGGAAGAAGGCATCCCTCCCTCCACTTCCCTGATGGGGTGGTGACAGAAGGAGCCTAGTGCAGAGTCAAGACTTTCACCACCACACAGTACTAACAGGGCCACCACTCCCTGAGATGTGACTTGGAGGCCACACAGGGAACAAAATATCCCTCCCCATCCCAACCAAGGTAGTACCAGAGGAAATACACCTGGACTTCCACCCACCTGGCAGTATCCAGGCAGCACCCCACTGTCTTCACCAGAGCCGTGTCAGAGGAGACAAGCCAACAAAGATCATTGAAATATGATCCAGCATCTCATAACATAATAACACCAAAAACATACAGGTTCCAGCAAAAATTACTCATCGTACTGAAAACCAGGAAAATCTCAACGTTAATGAAAAACAAACAAACAAAAAAAGACGGCCAGGCGCGGTGGCTCACGCCTGTAATCCCAGCACTTTGGGAGGCCGAGACAGGCGGATCACAAGGTCAGGAGATGACACCATCCTGGCTAACCCGGTGAAACCCCGTCTCTACTAAAAAAAAAAAAAAAAATACAAAAAACTAGCTGGGCGAGGTGGCCGGCGCCTGTAGTCCCAGCTACTTGGGAGGCTGAGGCAGGAGAAGGGCGTAAACCCGGGAGGCGGAGCTTGCAGTGAGCTGAGATCCGGCCACTGCACTCCAGCCCACGCTGAGATCCGGCCACTGCACTCCAGCCCAGGTGACAGAGCGAGACTGCGCCTCAAAAAAAAAAAAAAAAAAAAAAGATAAATCAATAGAACTGGAGAGTCGCCAAGCTGTGTGTATCTGTAATTCATTCCTTTGACTTTGATAATTCCACAGTATTAATGTAGTAGTCTATTTAACCATGTGTCCATTGAGGGCCATTTTGGTTGTTTCCAGGTCTATTGGGAGTTTGGGATTTTTTTTTAGACTATGTGTTTCTTTATTTAACAACTTCTCCCCAAAAGGAAATGTTTTTGAAAATCCCTATGGTTTATAAATTAAAGAGGATCAACCTTATAATAGGTTTTATTTTCATTAAAATGACAGGAACATTTAAAACTACAATGGACTAAATAAAGAATTTTTTATACTCTTGCTTCTAGTAATTATAAAACAGGTAATTTAGAACATATATCTGGCAGATGAAAGGTGGACATTTTTTTTTCCAAGACAGAGTCTTGCTCTGTTGCTTAGGCTGGACTGCGGTGGCACAATCTTGGCTCACTGCAACCTCCGCCTCCCCGGTTCAAGCGATTCTCATGCCTCAGCCTCCCATGTAGCTAGGATTACAGGCGTACACCACCACACCCAGATAATTTTTGTATTTTTAGTAGAGTAGGGGTTTCTCCATGTTGGCCAGGCTGGTCTCAAACTCCTGACTTCAAGTGATCCATCCACCTCAGCCTCCCAAAGTCCACCACACCCAGCCTGGACACATTTTTTTAATTTGTCAGAAGGCATTAAAAGACAAAATAATGGAGGATGAGTGGACCTAAACTAAGAAAAAAATTTTTTTTAATCACTATTTTTAATTTTAGTTGTTCTAGTAGGTATGTAGTAGTGTCTCATTCTGGTCTTAATATGCATTTCCCTAATGGCTAATGATGTTGAACATCTTTTCAAGTGCTTATTTGCTATCTGTATATCCTCTTCAGTGAAATGTCTTTTCATATCTTTTGTCCATTCCTAATTGGATTATTACTGTTGAGTCTCTTTTTTTTTTTTTTTTTTTTTTTTTTTGGAGACGAAGTCTCGCTTTGTCGCCAGGCTGGAGGGCAGTGGCGCGATCTCAGCTCGTTGCAACATCCGCCTCCACGGTTCAAGCAATTCTCCTGTCTCAGTCTCCTGAGTAGCTGGGATTACAGGTGCGCGCCACCACGCCCAGCTAATTTTTTTTTTTTTTTTTTTTTTTTTTTTTTTTGGAGATAGAGTCTCTGTCGCCCAGGCTGGAGTGCAGTGGCACTATCTCGGCTCACTGCAAGCTCCGCCTCCCGAGTTCACGCCCTTCTCCTGCCTCAGCCTCCCGAGTACCTGGGACTACAGGCACACACCCGCCACTGCACCCGGCTAATTTTTTGTATTTTTAGTAGAGGCAGGGTTTCACCGTGTTAGCCAGGATGGCCTGGATCTCTTTACCTCGTGATCCGCCCACCTAGGCCTCCCAAAGTGCTGGGATTACAGGCGTGAGCCACCATGCCCGGCAATTACTATTGAGTCTTAAGAGTTGTTTCTATATTCCAGATACAAGTTCTTTGTCAGATATATGGTTTGAAAATAATCTTGCTCTGTTGTAATTTGTCTTTTCAACCATCCTCTTCACAGGGTGTTTCACAAAGTGAAAGTTTAAAATTTTGAGTAAGTCCAAGTTATTGATTTTCTTTCTTTTCTAGGCTGTTCTTTTGTATCTAAGACCTCTTCAACAAGCATTCAATCTGAATGTTTTTTCCTATGCTTTCTTCTAGAAATTTTATAGTTTTACTTTTTTTTTTAATATGTAATCCTTTAAAAATAATTTTCTTTAGAGATGGGGTCTTGCTGTGTTGCCCAAGCTGGAGTGCAGTGGCACAATCATAGCTCATTGTAACCTCAAACTCTTGGGCTCAAGCAATCTTCCCAAATCAGCCTCTCGAGTAGCTGGGAACTAGAGGCACATGTCGCCACACCCAGCTAATGTATTTTATTTTTGTAGAGATGGGATCTTGCTATGTTGCCCAGGCTCATCTAGAATTCCTGGGCTCAAATGATCCTCCCCTCTCAGCATCCTGAGTCGCTGGGATTACAGGTGTGAGCCACCATGACTGGCTGTTATGATCCATTTTAAGTAAATATTTGTGAAAGGTGTGAGGTTTAGGTTTAGATTTTTGTTTGTTTTGGTTTTTGCCTGTAGATGTTCAATTGCTCCAGCATCATGTGTTGAAAAGGACCTTTCTTCCAATGAATTGCTTTTGCCCCTCTGTCAAAAATCAGTTGGCTGTACTCCTATGAGGCTATTTCTGAGTTCCCTATTCTGTTCCATTGATTGATGTACCTGTCTCTACAAGACCACACAAACTCAATTACTATTACTATATAATAAGCCTTAAAATCTGATAAAATAATTCTTCCAACTTTATCCTTTTTCAATTTTGTTTTAGCTATTCTTATCCTTTTGCAGATTTCTCTTTAGGCAAGGTATAGACAGAATAGTCTGGTCTATATCTACAAAAAAAAATCCTGCTGGGATTTTTGACATAAATGAATATGTCAATTTGAGGAGAATTAACATCTGCTATTTGAGTCTTACAAGATAGGAAGATGGTGTGTCTCTTCATTTATTTAGCTCTTATTTCTTTTATCAATATTCTACAGTTTTCAGCATACAATTTCTGTACATAGTTTGTTAGATGTACACTTACGTGTTTTATTTTCTTGGAGTGACTTTGAATGGTATTATATTTTTAATTTCAGAGTGCACATGTTCATTGCTATTATATAGAAATATAATTGATTTGTGTATGTTTACCTTGTATCCTGTGACCTTATTGAACCTACTTATTAGTTTTAGGTGTTTTGTCTTTGCTTTTGTTTTGTTTGTAGATTTCTTAGAATTTTCTACATAAACCATTATGACATCTTCAAACAGACACCATTTTATTCCTTCCTGTCTAATCTGCATGCCTTTCATTTCATTTTCTTGCCTTAATGCAATGGGTAGAAGTACTCAGAACTAAAAGGAACAAATTATTGATACACATAGTGTGGATGGATCTCAAGAGCTTAATGCTGCTGAGCTGGGCACGGTGCTCAGGCCTGCAATCTCAGCACTTTGTGAGGTTGAGGCGGGAAGATCACTTGAGCTCAGGAATTCGAGACCAGCCTGGGTGACATGGCGAAAATCCATCTCTACAAAAAATAAAAAATTAGCCACACGTAGTGGCACACATTTGTAGTCCCAGCTACTGGGGAGGCTGAGGTGGGAGGATCACTTGAGCCTGGGAGGCAGAGGTTATGGTGAGCTAAGATCACACCACTGCACTCCAGCCTGGGCAACAGAGCCAGACCCTGTCTCAAAAAAAAAAAAAAAGAGCATAATGCTGAGCCAAAAAAAAAAAAAAAAAGCCAATCACGAACTCTCACATATGATTCTATTTATTCAACAATGTCAAATGACAAAACTATAGAGATGGGAAAACAGATTAGTGGTTACCAAGGGTTAAGTATGGTGACAGTGCGTGGGGACAGGGAGGAAGGCTGGTATGACTTTAAAGGAGCAACAGGAGGCAGATCTTCATGGTGATGGAGCAGTTCTGCAGCTTGATCATGATGGTGGTTACATCTGCACATGACGAAACGGCATGGAAGTATACACATACATTGTACCAATATCAGTTTCCTGGTTTTCATATTGCATTACAGTTATGTAAAATCTAAGCATTGGAGGAATCTGGGTGAAGAGTACACAGGACCTCTCTCTTGTAACTTCCTGTGAATCTACAATTATTTCAAAATAAAAAGTAAAAATATGAATAAATAAAATAACCTAAGGGGCTACAGAGAGATTTAAAAAACAAAATCTAAAAAACAAGAACCCCTAGGAGACCAATCCTAGCTCCCATTTTACTTGCTGTGTATCCGGGGCAAGTTTCTGCGACTCTGTTCTACCCTTTTTCTCATATGTACGGTGTAGACTGGAAAAACAGCTAACCCCTAGAATTGTGAGGATTCGTGGCTGAATATATAGAAAGCAATAAGGTACTGACACATGGTAAGAACTAAATGAATGTTAACTATTATTGTTGTTTTAAATTATCATTTGACCAAGACCCAGACACTCCTCTGCATCCTTGCTAACCCTGCCAGCCAGAACCATGTATACCTGACACAGTGGTCCTCTGCTCCCTCCAGCCCAGAAAGTTCTCCACCCAGATTCCTGGAACCTGGAGTCAGCCGTTTGTGCCCCCACCAGATCCACTCATGCTTTCACTTGTGAATTCATTATTCATATTCAAGAAACACTCACTAAAACGCATTCATGTCCAGCGCTGGGCTTAACATCAGGCATGCAGATGTAAATAAAACATCATCTCAGCCCCTGTGGATTTCCACCTAATATGTGTGTGTTTGGGGGATTGCTGGAAAGGGTACAATAACTCAAATAATTACACAACAACATAATACGTGTCATAACTTCTTAAGAGTGACAGTTTGTGAAGCCAGTCAGAACTCAGTTAGGAGAAAGAGTGATAACCTAGAAAAGGGACATCAAATTCTCCATAGCCTTTAAAGAGCCAGTAAGCAGAGAAAGAAATGTTGAGTGCTGAGGGAAATTACGGTTCAAGCTAGAATTGTATACTTAGCTAAAATTTTCTTAACAGATGATATGGTCTGGCTGTGGCCCCACTCAAATCTCATCTTAAATTGTAGCTCCCATAATCCCCACATATCATGGGAGGGACCTGGTGGGAGGTAATTGAATCACGGGGGTAGGTTTTTCCTGTGCTGTTCTCGCGATAGTGAATAAGTCTTGTGAATCTGGCCAGGTGCGGTGACTCATGCCTATAATCCTAGTACTTTGGGAGGCCAAGGTGGATGGGACACTTGAGGCCAGGAGTTCAAACAAGCCTGGCCAACATGGTGAAACCTTGTCTCTACGAAAGAATACAAAAATTAGCCAGGCATAGTGGTGCATATCTATAATCCCAGCTACTTGGGAGGCTGAGGCAGGAGAATTGCTTGAACCTGGGAGGTGAGGCTACACTGAGCCAAGACCGTGCCACTGCACTCCAGCCTGAGCGAGAGAACAAGACTCTGTATTTAAAAAAAAAAAAAAAAAAAAGGGAAAAAAAAGTCTCACAAGATCTGATGGTTTTATAAAGGGCAGTTCCCCCACACACACAGTTTTGCCTGCTATCATGTAAAATGTGCCTTTGCTCCTCCTTCGCCTTCTGCCATGATTGTGAGGCCTCCCAGCCATGGGAAACTGAATCATTCAACCTCTTTTTCTTTATAAATTACCCAGTCTTGGGTATTTCTTCATAGCAGTATGAAAATGGACTAATACAATAGATAAGCATACATTTAGATATTTTCAGAAGTAAACCCGCTGAGAGACTTGATTACCAACAGGAGCTTCTTAAAAGTAAATTACAAGGGTTTAAAAATACAGTTCAATAGAATGAATAAGATCTAGTATTTGATAGCACAACAGGTGACTGTAGTTCACGATAATTTATTGTACATTTTAAAATAAATAAAAGAGTATAATTGGATTTTATGTAATACAAAGAAGAGATAAATGCTTGAGGTGATGGATACCCCATTTACTCTGATGTGATCAGTATACACTGAATTCCTGTATCAAACTATTTCATGTACCCCATAAATATATACACCTATGTATCACAGAAATTAAAAATAAAAAAATTTTAAATAAAAAAATTCACCAAAAACAACAAAATGAACTACAAGAAGAAAGAAAAGATTTCTTATATGAAGGTCTGAGAATCAACGTGAGACAATAATAGATATGGTATGGGAAACCAAAGCATGGTAGATAAGAGGTGAGTCACAACCACAGTGTAAAATATTAAATTTAGGCAGATATCGGTAATTTGAAACTTGGAATTTGGAAGAAGTGTCCTCTATTCTACATGTATGCTGATTAGGATCAGCTGAGATCCCTCAACTCTGACATTATCCTCCCTAAATATGTGAAATGCAGACTTTTAACACAAATTTTTAAAATTTTTTTCTGATGTTCAGAGACAGCCTTTCCACTGTTCGCGTTTCACTTCATGTGAGTGGTAAGAACAATAATGATCATTATCATTCTTTTCTTTTTGTTTTTAACCTAACCTGAGTCAATTCTCTCTGCCTTCTATTTTTGTAAAATATAGACACTAGAAGACACCATCCCAACTGAATTTAGACAATGTTATTGTAAATTTCAAAAATAAAATAAAATAAAACTGAAAAAAAAAGCTACTGCTCTCACCTTAATCTGAATGAATGTGAATACACAATACAATAAACAAACATTCCTGCCTTAGACCCCAGGAATACAAATTAACAAACTGCTAGACAAGACCATTATTCTGCTAGATGGACAGTGAGGAAAGTCTAAAAGAGGCAAGGAATGGTATCACCTCACTGTTTTCTCAACTTAAAAATCCTTTTTCTACTCCAGATCTCCACTCAGGCCTCATTTTAGGATTCCCTGAGAATTGTTCCTTTCTTCTAGAATGCCCAGAATCAAGTGATAATCCAATGTCTGCATTACTCAGTGACAGTTTAGTACCTACTTTCTATCAAAGAAACAAGACAAATAACAAAAGACAAAAAAAAAAAAAAAAAAAAAAAAAGAACTCAGTTTGATCCCCTGCTCTATCTTAATACTGTGTGACTTGGGCTAATTATATCACCTCTCTGGGCCTCAGTTTCCTAATAAGTAAAATAGGGATGATAAGAGGATTGTTGTAAGAATGGAATGACACATAGCAAGGGTCAATGAGAACTATTATTACAGCTATTATAATTATTAAGAAATAATAAGACAGGGCTGGATGTGGTGGCTCATGACTGTAATCCCAGCACTTTGGGAGGCTGAGGCAGGTGGATCACTTGAGCCAAGGAGTTTGAGAGCAGACTAAGTGACATAGTAAGACCCTGCCTCTAAAAAAAAAAAAATAGAAAAATTAGCCAGGCATGTTGGCACGCACGTGTAGTCCCAGCTACTCAGGAGGCTGGGGTGGGAGGATGGCTTGAGCCTGGGAGGGTGAGGCTACAGTGAGCCATGATTGCACCACTGCACTCCAGCCTGGGCAACCAAGCAAGACCTTTTCTCAAAAAAAGAGAGAGAGATAGTGAGACAGAGTTTATGTGAAGACTTCCATGGGTGGGAGCATCAACTGAGCTTTGAAGGATGAGAGGGCATTCATCACAGAGGTGAGCTGAGTGTTGGGGACCAGCCGGAGGGAGCCATGAACAAACACAATGTGGGGGACAGGAGAGGATGGCAAGAGGGTGGCAGTGGCTGAAGAGAAGGTATGTGAGGGACAGTCATGGGAGGTGAAACCAGGTCACCATGTGAAAGCTTTGAATGTCCAGACCCTGGGTGGTGATGAGCAAAGGAAGAAATCTAAGCAGGAAAATGACACAGAGAAACTTCCTACCAAGAATCCCTCTAATAATAGAGATTAATGCAGAGAAAACCTGAGGGTAGGGAGACCAGCGAGGAAACATTTTTGACGGTCTCACCCCAGGCCTGGGAGCACAGGTAGCTCTCATGGGCAGCCTAAGTGTCCCAGCTCCCAGAGAGGCAACAAAACTGTGAAAAGATTATGCAGCTCCTGTCTCTGAAGTGGGCTGAAAAATACATTGTGAACCTAAGTATACATCAACAGATGAAGGGATAAAGAAAGTTTGCATATACGCACAATGGAATACTATTTGGCCACAAAAAAAGCATGAAGTTCTGTCATTTGTGGCAACATAGATGAGCATGATGTTAATTGAAACAAACCAGATACAGAAAGATAAATATTACTTGTTCTCACTCATATGTGGAAGCTTAAAAATGTGGATCTCATTGAAGTAGAGAGTAGAATTGTGTTTATCAGAGACTGGGAAGGGTAAGCGGGAAAGGAGAATACGGAGAGGCTGGTTAACAGATACAAAATCACAGTTAGATAGGGGGAGTAAGTTCTAGTGTTCCATAGCTTTGTAGGGTGACTGTAGTTAACAATCATTTATTGTGTATTTTCTTTTTTCTTTTTTCCTTTTTTTTTTTTTTTTTTTTGAGACAGAGTCTTGCTCTATCGCTCAGGCTGGAGTGGAGTGGTGCGAACTCCGCTAACTGCAACCTCCGCCTTCCAGGTTCAAGTGATTCTCCTGCCTCAGCCTCCCAAGTAGCTGGGATTATAGCCACCATGCCTGGCTCAATTTTCATATTTAGTAGAGACAGGGTTTCACCATGTTGACCAGCTGGTCTCAAACTCCTGACCTCATGGTGATCCACCCGCCTTGGCCTCCCAAAGTGCTGGGATTACAGGGGTGAGCCACCTGCACCCAGTCTATTGTGTCTTTTCGATTAGCTAGAAAGAGGACTTTGAATGTTTCAAACACAAAGAAATGATAAATGTTTGAGGTGATGGATATGCTAATTACCCTGATTTGATGGTTACACTTTCTATACGTGTCTTGAACTATCACCTTGTATACCATAAATATGTGCAATTATTATTTGTGAATTAAAAATAATTTTTTAAAAGAAATGAATTATCAGCCAGAGTAGGATCCAATACCAGGCACAACCCTAACATTTGAAGGTCCCGGGGCAAGAAGGCAAATGAAGGCTACCGTGTCATGTCATTTGTCTGCATGCTTAAATGTTTTAATCAAGCTAATAAAAAGAATACATTAAAGACATCTAGCCTCATTTATAAGATAGCCCTTCATAATGACCTGAAAGATCAGGTTTGAGTTTATAATTCTCTGATTCCTCAGAACACCATGCAGGATCATGGCATTCCGAGGGGAGCCTGCCCAGCCCACAGCTCACCTCTCTTCTCACCCATCCCCAGCTCTGCCCACAGACCCTGCAAACAAGAGCATCCCTTGATGCTTCTCCTGCCTAGGGGTTGGCACCCAGTGGGCCCAACCCTCCAAGGATGGACCTTGAGGAAAGGCCCCTGCAGCTCCTTGAAGCAAGCACAAGGTTTCTCTGGGCAGGCAATCCCAGGACCCAGCTACTCAAAGCATGGCCCAGAAAGGGAGGAGGGCAGGCAGAGGCTCCTGATGGGCACATTCCCCTTGCCCCCAGCAACTCCTCACCCCACGAGGAGGGACTTAGCCAGAGGAGGCCCAGAGTCAGATCGAGATCAGAGGAGAGGCCCCTCTTTCCAGAGTCTAAGAGTGGAAATATTGAGCTGAGAGCAAATAGTCTTCCTGGATGATAGTGAACTCCTTCTGTCTGTCT